GGGTGAGAATGTTTTCGCATAAAAGTTTTGGTTCAGATATATTTTTGGTCGCGAAAAACTAAGCGAGACAAGTGTCTCATTCATTGATGTGTACACGGGTCTAAAACCGATGGTTCAACCCGAAACCATCAGCTGAGGACTGCTTGTGAAACTATACTGCGCATGACAAATTCCCGGAATCTGCATCGCAAAGAGTCAAAAGATCATTTGAATGCCGATTAAGTCGAAGTGAAACGACCCGAAGAAACTCTCGTTTTGAATAAGCGAATAGGTATGAACTCACGGACCAGACCTAGCTTAACACCTATTAAATTACTGAATGTGCCCACTCAAAGCAACCAAATGGGTACGTCACCTCGATATTCGGTCCAACGTCCAAGAAGTATTTTGTCTCATCCTTATTGCGCAATCCTATAAGTGGATACCTCCGTTTCATATCGCACTTCTCGGTACAATCATCGATAATGAAATCAACTCCAATCCAAACCTGCAAAAATAGCAGGGATTTACACTCAAAAAGCAACAAATTGCGTTTGGTTCGTGAGCAGAATCGCAGTTATATGACTGCATTCGGTCTGTACCACCTTCAGTGACGTCCCTTCTGTTCTGCTTTCCAACTATATTTTAGAAACAATTATGCTCTAGTGTTTTCCTGTAATAAATTTTGCTTGATTGGGATAGGACGGGAGACCAGATGATGAATATATTATGCAATACACACAATAATATCACGAATTGACGATTGATGTGACATCCCGCCAACCCATAGACGACTCGAAGGATGACATCCTTCGAGTCGTCTATGGGTTGACTAGTTGCGGGCTGATGACCTACTTCGCTGCCACGGCGACAGATCCACTGCCACAAAAATTTGAACCTGGTCAGCGTTCCCGCCACAAATTCTATACCTGTCCCGTTCTATGCTGCTAAGAAGGAACACGAATGGAATAGGAATAGATCACTTAAGCAGGGACGGGGACATCATCGGCTACATTCGTGGATTTTCTTGCAAGGATATGACCAATTCAGCCTAACAATCGTTGTTATGGCCGGCTGTCGCTCAGTGTACCGATGGTGGGAAACCCCGTGATAGTAGGACGATACTAGGACGGAGGGTATGCAACTGAAGGTATGCATGCTTTATGAAGGTAAAACTCGATTGGTATGCACTTAATCTCGGTTTTTGCAACTTCTTTACTGATGTCGAACAATATAGTTATGCGAAATGCGGCATTGCTCTGATCAATTTGCTTCTTTGACCGTTTAAACAATCCCTCCGATCAACTATCACGCATTTATGTAGAAATGTTGTAAACCGAACTGTAATAATGTTCCTCATGGTGTATTCTCATTGCTGCAAGAGCATATTTAGTTTGCACTGATTAGAAACTTACTGAGTCAGCGTCATCACAACTCATTCCATCAAGAATGCACTGACGGTAAGCGGGTTCAAACAGTTTTGTCCATTGTGATTTTATGTTCTGCTGAAAAGTTATCTAATATCGATGACCGCTGAAATCTGGTTATTTACAGAAAATAGCCGATACGATCGACTGTTGCAAATCAGCACTTTCTTTTTCCTCTTGTTTTGCGGTATCTTGTGAAGACGTTGACCAACTCTGACGACCAAAAAAAATATTCCGTGGTGGATAATTCGCATGCGAATGCAAGCTGTAGCCTCAGTAATTCGGCTAAAGACAGATTCAGTTATTCGTAAATACTGCGTCTGAAATGATTTATCGGCCAAAGCCTGCTCAATGGATCAGAATAGTTTCTCAGAACCAAAGAATAACCGATGATTTACGTAAAAAAAGTTACGGAATGGTTAAAATTGTTAACCATTTGGAATCAATAAATCAATCACCTTCCCGTATGTTGACTCTGATGAGTTTGGTGTGGTAAGAGGATCCAGATGGGTCAGGCACGATGAGTGTGATATGCGAAGAAGAACGCTTTTGATGATGAAAGATAGGTTTGGTGCGAAATAGAAAAAGACTACTATCCTCGAGGTTGGTGCGATAAGGATAATGGCTATTATAACACAGTTGATGATAATAGCAATTCGGAGTAATGCAAAAAGAAATCTGAGTCGGAACGTCCTTGAATGTATCATCACTCGGCAATTTTAAGAATGAAACTGTAATCAAAAGTTGATGTTCAAATGGAATTGTCTGTTCGTTGTAAATGCGCTGTTATCATCGTGATAAGGGTGGCACACTTGATCCGAAGCCACCATTCTCGGGACGAAGTTCTTTCTCTAGCTATCAAGTGTTGGTTTGAGGGTGGAAAGATACTCGCTTACTTTATTGCATTTGACATAACCTTCATCCCTTCAGATCTATCGAAAGATTTTTCTGAATGATCAAAAAGCCTCAAAGAGTAGATGAATAGCAAGGGAGATAGCATCATTACATTATACAAGCACTTAATCCGAACTATCATTACTCATATTCGAAGTATGGAATTACTCAATTCGAGATGTCATCGCACATCAAGCAATATTGTGCTCTGTCAAAACTGCATCTGTATTATATTATTCCAAATCAGCAAAAGAAAACATCATCTACAATCAGAAACCATTTTAATTGAGTTTGATTCTTATTTTGCTTTCAAAGTGAAAGTAGAAGCAAATGCCTTGATCGTATGGTGCGATGGCAGCGACAAATGAAATCCCGAATGGTCGGAAATAGTACAAAGCTTCGAAACAGTGGATTTCATCAACACAAAGTTTGGTGAACAAGCAG